CCAACAGCTGTGGAGTTGTGTATTTAGAGGGATGCAGGTAGGGTCTGTGAATTATGTCTCACCAGAGTTGTTCCAAAATGAATTCTCACACTTCTTTCAGACCTCCTTTCATGAAGGCAGTTTTCTGTTATTTTGCATGTAGGAAGCGCTCACGATTTTTAACGAATGCAATGATTACCTGTTTGTTTCTGGGCCAGGCACATAGTACAGGGGCTGCAAGTAGCGCAGTAGTAAATGTTCAGGGCCCAGAGAGTCGTACAGTGGGTAGGGTGCTTGCCTTGCCTGTGACTGACCTGGGTTCCCCAGCACCCTATTATAGCCCTCTGAGCCCTCCCAGGAGCGATCCCCGAGCAGAGCCCAGAGGAATCCCGGAGTACTCTAGGGTGTGCCCTCTGCCCCTCCAAAAAATGAATTTTCAAATGATTTGATTTGTGATTTGTCCGTTGCTGCTAACACTATCCAGGCACCCTCCCCTTTGTGAGTCCTGTGGGACTCCAGACACAGACGGTAGCGTGACGTAAGCGTAGGTCTAGAAGGGTTTTTGGCACCCCACATTCTCCTAAAATGAAAGTTTATCTTTGAGGGGCCAGAGAGACAGGACAAGCGTTAAGGCACTGGCCTTGCACACAGCTGACCCCAGGTTCAATCCCTAGCACTATATACGGACCCCACAAACACTGCCAGGAGTAAGCTCTGAGCACAGAGCCAAGAGTAAGTAAGCCAGACAACAGATAATTATCTTTGAACAACAGGGACTGTCTGTTCTTTCGCATTAAGCTTTCTTTGAAGTGTTTCAGGTCACATTCAGTTACAGTCTAAAAAAGCGCTGGCTTTTTTTTTTTTTTTTAAATAGACAATACCTGAAATTCCACCCAAGCCTGGAGAACTCAAAACGGAGCTTTTGGGGCACAAAGAGAGACAACACGAACCTCAAATTTCACAGCAGTAGAAACTCAGAACTCTGCGAATAGCGCGACATGTTTTAAACACGTTTGTAAAACGTCTATGGAGCTTTTTTGTCCTTTCACCCCTAATCTGAGGCTAACTGCAAGTGGGGGTGCTCGGATAGGCTGATACTTAACTCTGATTTGGCCAGAGTCAGCTTTGTCTCATGCAAACCCCCAGAGCATTAGAGCGGATGTGGTTTCTAGATATTTTGAGTATGAGAATGAAAATTTGTAACTTGGCCTCCAGTGGCAAAGATCAATGACAAGTTAATGACAATAAAAGTCACCTTTGATAATGAATACCTAACAGTGTAAAGTTAATATTTCGGCAGAAAAGCAGGAAGTGCAATTTGTACTCAGCCGAATTGAAGCGTTTCAGGGGTAGGGCAGGGGCTTAGAGCAAGTGTGTGGTCATGAGTTCAAGCCTCTGTGCTGCCGTCTGTGAAACGCTGGCATCTCACCGTTCGGGTCCAGGCCCTCCGCCGTGTGTGATTCCTGCTGCTGTCTGCTTCCTGAACGCTGCCACAGCCATTTCCGGCTGCATCATAACCCGCTGTATCTGAGCAACGCAAGGAGGGTCGTGACTGCCGGCAAGCATTGCAACTGAAAATTGTCTGAGCACCGAGACCTGAAAGACCTGCCTCCGGGGAGCACCATGATTGGAAGAACTACCTCTGGGGAGCACCACCTCTGGGGAGCGCCACACCACAACTCATTGACACTCTGGGAAGCACATGTGCAGGCACCCCAGCTAGACTGACCTCACTGAGCACAACCTGACGTGCCACCCACCCACTGAGCCCCAGAGGCAGGTGGGAGCAGACCCTGCTTATCACAATAGTCAGGGAGGGAGGGAATGAAAAAGTACATTCTCGGTTTGAAGAGAGAAAAAGTGTATATATATGTAAAGAATGAAAAAGTATATTTTCAGTTTGAAGTTATTGCATGTATGTGTGTTGGGACCCAGAATCCCGAAGTTGGTGTGTGTGTGTGTGTGTGTGTGTGTGTGTGGTGTTTGTGTGTATGTTGGGACCCAGAATCGTGAAGCTGGGATGTGTCCCAAAGCTGGTGTGTGTGTGTGTGTGTGTGTGTGTGTGTGTGTGTTGGTGTGTTGGGACCCAGAGTCCCAAAGCTGAGGTGTGTGTCTGTGTGTCTGTGTGTTGGTGTACTGGGACCCAGAATCTCAAAGTTGGTGTGTGTGTGTGTGTGTGTGTGTGTGTGTGTGTGTGTCCCGAAACTGGGGTCCAGATATGGAACTCTTCCCCGGAATGCCGACCCTGGCGGGGGTCCTGTCTGCTTTGTTTCTGTTTCCTGTTTCCCCTCCTGGAAGAACTTCCCCTGAAGGAAGCCCTTTGCATTTCTGTTCATCCCAATAAACTAACACCCTCAGATACGTAAAAATCTAACCTGGAGAGATCAAGATTATCAGGCACCTGACCAAGGAATTTTCATCTCTATTCAGTAATTACTAGTTCTGAGCAGTTAATACTGTTGGTGGTGCAGGTTCGGGGCTCAACCCACAAGGCTGGTAGCTACCCGATCTCATTCTTTTCCTCTCTCATTTCTGTCTCAATCCTTGCGGCACCTCTGCTTCAGGCCTGCTCACCTGGGGCTGGTCCCCGCCATGTGTGGAGGGTGGGGGAGGCGGGGGCAGTCACTGGGTTGTCCCCGGCTGTGCTCAGGGCTTACTCCTAGCCCAGTACTCAGGGATCACCCCTGTGGGCGCCTGGGGTCCACAGTCTTCCTCCTGTATCTCTTTGGAGTTTGAAGTTCATTTGGAATTAAATACACAAAAATTTGTTGCGATTCGGACTATCAGAGATTCTTTTTCCTTCATTCGAGAGACCTGTTAGCATTTATTTATCTTGGTTTTGGGGTCACACTCAGCTGCACAGGGTTCATTGGTTCGGTGCTCAAGGAACAATCCTGGCGGTGCTCAGGGGACATGGTGCGCTGCTGAGAATGGAACCTCGGTTGGCTGCATGCAAAGCAAGAGTCTTAGCCTCTGTTTCCTCTGTGACCTTGTATTTTTCCCCCTTCCTTTTTTTAAAAAAAAAATAAAAGTTTTCAATTCACGGTAAACCTTAATGAATACTGCTCAGGGTTGAATTGTATCTCCTTCCAAAGATATCCAGCCCCTTAGGAATATGACTTTATTTGGAACTAAGGTTTTAACAAATGTAATCATGGGCCCTTGCCCCTCTTTAGTGTGGGTAAGAGAGAAACCCAGATGGACACAGGGAGAATGTCACATGACCATAGGCAAAAATGGGAGGAATGTGGCTTCTGGTTGGGGAGCACGAAGATTTGAGGGCCTGTGGACAGGAGGAAGAGGCAAGGACGGATTCAATGCCATCACCCTATTCATATTTAGATTTCTGACTGTCAGATCCAGGACTTGAAGAGGATGAAGCTGTGTTGTTTTAAGCTACCCAGTTAGCAGTACTATGCTCAGGTGGGCAGTCCCAGGAATACAAAAATACTAATTTGCCATTTGGAGAGAGAGCGAGCATTGGTGGGAGTAGGGAGCTTGCCTGGCACGCAGCCAACCACAGTTCCATCCTCCACACCCGATACAGTCCCCTGAGCACTGCCAAGATTGATCCCTGAGTGCAGAACCAGGAGTAAGCCTTTAGCACTGCTGGGTGTGTGGTCCAATAACAACTACAACAACAAAATCCCCACATATTAATTTGCATCTGGGCCCCCAGCATGCAAAGCGTGTGCTGCAGCCCTTTGAAACATCTTCACCACACATCACCCAGTATCTAGTTAAGGGTGGCTTTTAAAGACAGCCTTTTTATTTGGGAATGTCTGAGTTTGCAGAAAGAATGCAGTGGTCCTGGTATTCCTCCCTACCCCTCTTGGGCACCTGTCAAAGAACCCCGACTGTCCATAGCCTGGGCAGTCACATCTCACCAGTTCTGATCCAAATTGTATTTCAATGTCTCCCTCTGAGTCATTTGCCCAATTCCCTGACCAGTGATCGCAGGTTATTAGGTGGGGGCTATAATTTGGTTGCAGAAGCCCCAGGAAACCAAAGGGCAAGCTGCCAGCTGCATTCAGTGATGGAGGGATTTGCCAGGACGGGATCAAAATCATTCATGGCCTCCCATCTGCCAGGCAGTTGCCGTACCACTTAGCTGCATCCCCAGATGCAGTTCCTTTCCTTGGTTTGACCTTGGAACTTTAGAGGGTGGGGGGTGTGTATTGGGACCACACTGAGCATTGTTCATGGGACTGTCTCATGATTCCAGAGGTGCTCTGGGGACCATGCAGTGCTGGCAACGTGTATGTACGTGAGTTTGGCTCTACGCAAGCCAGGTACCTCAATCCTGGCCTCTAGCCCTTGAACTTGATCTTGTTCAGTCTAAATTTATCTTGTTTTTCTTGAAATTGGCTACGAAGTCCATGTTTTCTCTAGAGCATGTTTCTCCCCTCTGGAGAAGCTTGCTGTCTTGAACATGTAATTTCCTTCCCTGTTTTTTCCCCCTCACATAGAAGTAAATTTCTTGATTTGCTGAAAACAAACAAAACCCCAAAGTAAAATGGCTAGGGAGTATGGAGTTTTGTAATTTTTGTGACAGGGGTTCATGTGTATGTCTGTGGCGGCTATGTTCAGGGGTCACTCCTGGTAGAGCTTGAGGGACCCTATGGGGTGCCAGGGATTGAACTGGGTTGGCCCTGTGCCAGCAAGTGCCCTGCCTGCTGTGCTCTAGCCCCAAGGAGGTATGGCAGAGGTATCAAGTTTTCATCATATACCAGTGATAAAATATCAGTACTAACCTTGCCACTTGGCTCATTACTGTCTACCATGTTTATCTGCAATGAAGTCACTAACTTCACAATCATTAAGAAAATTAGTGGGCACTGAGGTCCACCTTCTAGAAGGCAAAGTACCTACATTGTTGGGAATTCCTCTAAGGATGTACAGGTGATTTGAAAAACTGGATTAAACAATCTTCAGTGTGTATGGATTATAGGGAAGAAAAATTTAGGCATCAGGCAGTTATAGTCATTCTATATACTATCGTCTGGAGACAGACAAGACACTGAGTATTTGGGTTTTTTATTTTTATACACATGACAAGATTTTACACCAAGAATAGTCCGTTAAATAGTACAAATTTACATTCATGAGGAATGTTAAAAAAAATTCAACTAAAAAACCCACTTCTTCCTGTGACCCACAATCCCAATGTTTTACAGTGCAGGGGGGAAGGGGTTGGGGGAAGCATCTAAAACAAGTCTCTCCCAAAAGAAATGACTGAAATTTCACATTCCCTCTCCACACAAGCTCCAGATGGTGACGATGTGATTTACAATTCATCTTTTTCCTCTGTAGATTTCTGTAGAAACAAAAATAAGATATTTAGATGCATTTTTTAATCCGTACAATGTGTTAGCGTCAAATTACAATTCTTTAAAATTAGATCTACATGACACTGATACATACCATGCTACCCATTTGAATTTATAGGTAAAAAAGATCGTGTATATAGTTCATACGTGTAACATACATGCATAAAGTGTTCACTTCCATAAAGCTTATGGTTTCTGTTTTGGGTCACACCTGGCAGATTCTTGGGGCCATATGAGGTACTAGGCATTGAAGCTGGGTTGGCCATGTATGAGGTCAGTGCTCGGTCCACTGGACCCTATCTACCCCATGTACTCTATCTCCAGCCCCTACAGAAAATCTATTTAGTTAAAAAAAAAAAATGAAATGGGCAAGCTTAGCTATTTCTATTACTTTAGCTGTAGGCCAGAACTTTACCTTGCTAACCTGCAAACTAATTTAGAACCCACCAAGTCCCTTAAATCAAAAATAAAAAATTTTAAAACAGGTGATTTTGCATCAGCAAAGTTGCAATGGAGTAAGACAGAAGGTTCCCAAACTTAACTTGGCTTATCCTGATAACAGAAAAAGAAAAATCAATACCACACCCCCCCCCCCCAAATTCTCAAATTTACTTTTTGCTTTTTGGGTCACACCCAGCAATGTTCAGGGGTTACTCCTGGCTCTGCACTCAGGAATTACTCCTGGTGGCACTTGGAGGACCATATGGGGTGCCGGGGACTGAACCCAGGTCGGCCGCGTGCAGGGCAAACGTCCTCCCCGTTTTATTATCGCTCTGGCCTTAAATTTACTTTTAGAGAGTGAGCAAAGTGGCCTCCTCTCCCAACTGCACCCTACTGCGCCCAGCCCCCCAGCATCATTTCATCGCTTCGAGGGAAATATCGCCCACTCTGGGAAACGGTACAGAAGCACCGCACGGCCATCCCAACACTCTCAAAAGAACATCCATATATACACTTAAAACCCAGAACACAACTGGGTTGCTCCACTGACTGCACTCAGCCCTCGGGCGCTCTGCTCCCCCTCCCAGCCCGTCGCCGCCCCTTCTCCACTCCTACCACTGTGTCCTGTTCTTCATCTGCGCCTTCGTCCATGTCTTCTTCCTCATCCTGCTCCGTGTCCTCTGTGGTGTCGTCTGGCTCCTCTTCTGGTTCCTCTTCCACCTAAGAGCAGAACTTATGAGACCTTCACTCCCCCCCACCTTTCCCGTGGCTGCCAGGGGTTCCCTGGGGCTCATATGCCCCCAGCTGGAACCGCTGCTTTAGGAAGACACTCTTCAACCCTCTCACACTGACAGAGCGCCACCTGTCCCGCACCCAAGTGTGAGGTTTAGTATTGTTTCTATGATGCTTCTTAGGGCTGGCGAACTTTGTTTTTTGGGGTATGCTCTGGGCACGGAACTTGCTGGGGGTCACCCAGCAAGCGCCTTAAGCGGACTGTTCCTACCGCCCAGTGGTTGGGGAGACCCACCGTTGCAGAGGAGCAGCTGAGCTGACAGGCCAGAAGCCAGTCTCCCGGAGGGATTCTGAATTTCTAGCGGCACCCCCAGCTGCCCACGGGAAGGCAGGGCCACACACCTTGGCATTTGGGTCGATGTTCAGGCTGAGGCGGAGCATCCTTTCGATCCGGTCTCCGTACGCTTTCGTGTCGGGGAGGAGGTAGCCCGAGCGCAGCGTGGCGGTTTCGAACAGGACCACGGCAAGGTCCGAGACGGTTTCATCGTCTTCGTTTTCCTGAAAGGAGAAGCTACACGTAAGCCCCAGAAGATGCGGGCCGCGCGCGTGACAGGGAGCGGGGGCACGTGGGAACTCACTCACCTTGACTCGCCGCAGCATGTCCCTGATCAGCGGGTGCCTGGGGTTGATCTCAAATGTTTTCTTCTGGCTGGCGTAGTAACTGTTGGGGGATACATACAGATGACTGCCATCAGCACAGGAAATGGTGGTACCGTTTTTTACCATGTTTCACGATCACAGAGAAACCAGCTCCCAAGTCAGGGCCCCATGGCCCCGTATGTGGCTCAGTGTCTTAGCGCCCTTGGCCTCTCACAGCAGCTGGGGGGGGGGGGGGGGGGGGGAGACATGTCTCTGGACGGGGCTCATGGGGATCCTAGTGCACGCTGGCCACTTCCCCCGCTCCGCCCAGCTCTCTCTGGGGCCCATAGACTCGGCAGCTCTGTCTCCCCGAGTCGGTATGGCCGTGTCCTCCCCCAGAAACACCTCTGTGCTCTTGTCACAAGTATGCTTAAAAAGCAAAAACAAACACCCTGCCCCCAACAGACACTTCTTTTCTCTGAGCTCCGTTCCCAGCAGCCTGAATGCAGCCGCACGTCTTTCGCGGTTATGGACTGAGGTGTCTGTTCCCACACGGGCGCCCGGGCTGCGTGTAATAGAAGGATAAAGACTGTGCCTGCTGCTTACTGGCAGTCTTACCCTCCGACAGGGTGGGACATAATATGCAAATTGCTTTTTGGGTCACACACAGTGTATCCTCCTATTACACGGACATGTGTCCCTTACAACGGAACTGAGCACTGTGAGAAGGCAGGCTACCGTTTGTGAGAATCTCTTTTTGGATTGGTTTCTGGGCCACACCCAGCTCTGCTCAGGGCTGACTCCTAGTTCTGTATTCAGGAATCGCTCCTGGTGGGTCTGGGGAGGATCATATGTGTGCCAGGGATTGAACCTGCGTTGGTCATATATGAGGCAAGCACCCTACTTGCTGTTCTCTCTCCAGCCCACCCTGTGAGAATCCTTAAGCTGGGTCTGAAGGAAAATAAGTAACGAGGATGCAATAGAAACTTAAGGTATTTCAAACAAGGAGAATAAAAGCAGCGAAGAAGTCAATTTCCAGGCCACTGAAACATAAACTTCAATCTTCCATTATGTATTTCTTAAAAAAAAAAAAAAAAAGAGAAGGGAGGGGTCGTCTCTGAAAGGGGCTCAGGGCCAATGCTTGGTCCTCAAGTTCAAGCACTTGTAACTTGGTCCTTTATTGTGTGGGCATACCTACAATCAGGGATGCTTGCAATTTAATGAGCCAGATCAGGAGGAGTCTGTGATGCTGTTCAAAGGGTCTCCACTCACTCGAGAAACGCAACTGTCACTGAACTCCTCTGTAACGACTACCTAAAACTGTCACAACCCAGGCTAAGCGTATCACCGAAAGCAAAAGGAAAGACACTGTGTACGAGAGGTCAGGCAGGGCCTTCTCTCCTGCGGTTGCCTCATCTCACCCCTGTGAGGATTGTGGGTCGAGAGCAGCTGGCATTATCCGCCCACGACAGGTGGCCCAAGTGCTCCCCGCTTGGCTGGGGGCCAGCTGCTTACTTGGTGGAGATGTCCTTGCCCGTCTGGTAGGCCTGCGCCTTCATGATTCTCTCCATGTTGCCCGACCAGCCGTACTGGCTGGCCACCAGCGCACAAGGCGACTCTGTCAGGCGCTGCGACACCACGGCCTTCTCAATCTGGGGAAAAGAGATGGGGTTGAGAGCCAGACAGAGATAGCCCCGGCTGTGTGCACCCGGGCCAGGCCTCACACAAGGCCAACCTCCCTCCCTTCCTCCCCCAGACTACGGCACCAGGCCCTGTACTGGAAGGATTTTAAGCCCCTTAACCCTTGATCTAACCACATTAAAGGTTTTCTGTACAGTTACCAAAAAAATACCATCTGTAAAGCCTAATTTGTTGACTGAAAAATGAAAAAGCAGGCAGTTGAATACCTTGTCCTTGAGGGCTTTATCTTTCATCCAGTTCAGCAGAGGCTCAAACTCTTTCTCAACTGCTTCACGGCTCTCCTTAGTCTTCTCACTCTCGTCAAACTTCACTCCTTCCTTGGCAACGTTCTGGAACCTCTTCCCGTCAAACTCGGGAAGAGCCTGAATGCAGTACTCGTCCACGGGTTCTGTGAGATAAATCACTTCATAGCCCTTTTTCAGAAGCCGCTCAACAAATGGAGAGGACTCAGCCTACAAGACAAAGGGAAACAGTGTTCCTAGTCTGACCTGCGAGGACGGCCCGTCCACTCGCCAGGATGACTGCCGTGTCAGCTGCACCCCAGAAGGCTCCACCAGCTGGCGTTCACCTCACCTCTTTCCGGCTGGAGCCGGCCATGAAGTAGATCTTGTCCTGCTTCTCCTTCATCCTTTCCACGTACTGGTCGAGGCTGGTGATGTCGCTGGCGTGGTGCGAGGACTGGAAGCGAAGCAGCTTCGCGAGCCGTGTTCTGTTCGAGTGGTCCTCGATCACGCCCAGCTTGATGTTGGTGCCAAATTCCTTCCAGAATGTATCGTTGTATTTCTCATCAGCAATCTTCTTGATCATGTCCAGAGTTTTCCGGACAAGCTTCTTTCTAATCACCTAAGAGGGGAAAATAAATAAATAAATAAATAACCAAGAACTTGTCAGGGATCTTAATCTCAGAAAATCGACCCTTCTGGGGCTGGAGCAATAGCACAGCGGGTAGGGCGTTTGCCTTGCACACAGCCGACCCGGGTTCGAGTCCCAGCATCCCATATGGTCCCCCGAGCACCGCCAGGAGTAACTCCTATGCATCGCCAGGTGTGACACAAAAACCAAAAAAAAGAAAATTGACCCTTCCACATGTAAGGCAGTGCAGGTGTGTCGTGAAAGATAAACCACCAGGGGGAGAGATGTTGAGACTGATTTATTACTGATAGTCCAAATTGAGACTAGACTGTGGCTATTATATATGGGGCGGGCCCAATGTGAATCTTTCCAAGTTTTCTATATATGGAAAATCTTTGAGGGGCTCTGGCTCCCCAGTAAAGCACGGCCTTGCAAGTGTGAGACCCTGGGCTCAGATCTCGATAACAAGTTCTATCCAAAACCAGGGTGGCAACAGCCAGATCCTCAGCATTTGATAACCCAGTGAAGATCTACAGTCCAGTCTCAAAGGTCTGATGAGCAACAATCTACGGTCCAGTCTCAAAGTCTGGGGACTCCCCTCACGCCTGCAGTCTGTCCTCTGAAGACCACAGGGCCATGCCAGTGCTGTTCCGGAACCCTCACCTTGAGCAGTTTATGTTGCTGAAGTGTCTCACGGGAAACATTCAAGGGGAGATCATCAGAGTCCACCTTCGGATGGCAGGAGAAAGCTCAGTGAGCAACAGGAACACTAGGGTAAAACCAAGCAGACAAACCTGCTCCTGGATCACACACACACACACACACACACACACTCACTCACACTCTCTCTCTGATACTCACAACACCCTTGACGAAGTTGAGGTACTTGGGCATCATATCGTGGAAGTCATCTGTGATGAAGACTCGCCGCACATAGAGCTGGAAAGAGACCCAAGCAAGTCACTTCCTGGGAATTAGGCTCGCAAATCAAACTCAACCTCTATTGCTGAAAAACCCACCTTAATGAAGTCACTCTTCTTAGATCCATACTCATCAAACAGACCACGGGGAGCAGACGTGGGGACGAATAAAATGGATTTGAAGGTGACTTCCCCTTCGGCAGTGAAGTGGATATACGCCATCGGGTCGTCACTTTCCTGTGGGAGATCGTTACTTCAGTCACTCAGGAGGCACAGAGAGAAGGCAGCACAAAGGCCGAGCCACTCGGCATCTAACCAACAAAAGGCTCCCTCACAGAAAAAAGGGCGGGGGGTGGGAATTTGGGGCCTGGAGACTGGAGGGGACAGACAAGAAAGGACTGAGACTGCAATTCTAACAGGCAGGCCGGGTCTCCCGAACTTAGGGAAGCACTCCCTCCATCCTGCCTAGCTGACTAACACGAACATTTGTAAGTACAACGGACAACTATGAAGCAGGGGATAGGGAACAGAATTCCTTCATGAACTAGGACAGGAGTGGCCATGATGAGAACCTTCTATCAGCAACCCTTCTGGCTGCGAAACAGCGGTATGTCAAGACACGGTACCAGAAGCAAACCAAGGTGGCATGTTGGGTTCAGTCGTCCACCCCCCCCCCCCCCCAAGAATGGCTGAATATTAACACAGGAAAACAAAGGTCAACAAGTCAACTGTTGGAATAAAAAGTCAAGAACAAACACCATCGGTTTTACGGAGCCGTGCTAGAGCCACTATTCTGTTCTGGAGGAAATCCTATTTGGGAGAGGGCCGAGTGACAGGCAAGTGGGCGAGCACACAGCCAACCTGGGCTTGACCCGAGCACCACCCCTGCCAGGAATGAGCCTTGAGCACACAGCCGGGAGTAAGTCCTGAGCACACAGCCACAAACAACAAATGCTATTTGGGGAAACGTTAATTTGAAACAAAATTCTTCCATAATCAATGCTGATTTAAATTCTCACAGGAAGAAAAGTTAGTAGACGATTAACAGGGCAGGACACAAAGGCTGAATGTCTGAAGATGTTAGGACACAGAGACTGGAATGGCTGCTGGTGTCAAACCAAAACACTCTATTAAAAGCCACTTAGTAACATGCCTTCAGTTTTATGGATTCTGTAAAGGGGGGGTGGGGGGAGGTGTCACACCCAGCAGTGCTCAGAGCTCACTCCTGGCTCTGTGCAAGGCAAATGCCCTACCCACAGTGCTATAGTTCTAGCCCCCAAAACCATGAAATTTAAAAACATACACTTCTGATAATCCGGTGATTGTATCTTTTTAAGAGTAAATTAGTATCCCTTTTTTTGGTAGCAGCAGGGAAAGAGGCCAGGAATGAACACTGGAAGGCCAGTACTCCACCACAGAACTACAGAGTTAATTTTTAATTTTTTTTGTTGCTTTAGAGTCAGGCTCAGTGGTACTCAGGGCTTCCTCCTGGCTCTGTGTTCAGGGATCACTCCTGGTGGTTTCTTGGGGATCAAACCAAGAGTGAATTTTTTAACCGTGTAATATAAACACAAAGTATTATAAAGGAAGTCAACAGTGTTTAAGTTCGAAAACCATACACAAACATTTAAAAATGCAGCAGGGGCCGGAGCGATAGCACAGTGGGTAGGGCGTTTGCCTTGCACGCGGCCGACCCGAGTTCGATCCCCGGCATCCCATATGGTCCCCTGAGCACTGCCAGGAGTAATTCCCGAGTGCAAAGTAACCCCTGAGCATTGCTGGGTGTGACCCAGAAAAAAAAAAAACTGTAGCAGTGTTGTCACTCCATATTATCTAAAACCTTTATTTACCTTTGAAAATGATTTGTAGAAAGCTTTGTACTCATCTTCTTCTACTTCTTTTGACGGTCTCTGCCATATTGGTTTGATGTCATTCATCAGTTCCCAATCCCAGACAGTTTTCTCGACCTGAAATCACAGTATCTGATTAACTCTCCCAGCATCCCTGCAGTCACAGTAAGTGGTTATTACACAGCGGCTTTGGGGAAGATACTGCTAATCCACAGTGCTTGCTAACAACTGATTAAAAGCGGAAAAAATCCTTTTCTTAGTGTTTAAAATCATTATTCCAGTGGCCTGGGATTAGGATAATCTGTAATTCTGACTTCCTTAAAAATTTATTTAATATAAAAAAATGTAGATGATTATTAAGCTTTTCCCCCCATTATTTTTAATGATTTAAACTGAAATAACTTCAAAACACCTGTTTTGAGATTAGAAGAATATCAAGTATGTTGCATTGGTAGAGGATGTAGGCATTGGTGTTGAAACATTGTATGCTGAAACCAAATCATGAATAACTTTGTAACCAAATCATGAATAACTTTGTAATTCAGTGACTCCACAGTGACTAAATATGGAAAATAGATATGTATGTTCTCATTTAATTAAATTATTCTGCACTCTCCCATGTTTTTAAATTATTCTGCACTCTTCCACTTCACTACTACGCCTGAAATACTCCATTCAGCTGGAGGACGATCCCAGCTTACCTTTTTAGTTTTGGGCTTCTTTTCTTCCTCTTCCTCTTCTACTGCGGCCTCATCGTCAGATTCTTCCTTTTCTTTTGCTGCCTCTTCTTCATCCATGGGCTCCTCAACGGTCTCGGTCTGTTGAAGAAATAAGCATTAAGGTTAAGTGCATGTGGTTACTAATTCTGATTTTGCCTACAGACAGTGAAACAAATATTGCAGCTCCAAAGTGTCTTTGTAAGAACCCGTGAGCAGCTTATAGAAAAGCAACGTACTCAACCTTCACCTTAAAATGTTACTGAAATGTTTGCCAACATAATACATAACAGTTTTACGAACACAGATTTACCTTACTGCTCCATACGTAAATTGGGAAGTTTATGAACTGTGAATATTTTTTGACGAGATTTTTGATTGTATCCAATTCAAGGTAATCAGAGGCTTCTTCTTTTAAAACAAGTCTGCAAGGAAAGGCAGAGCGATGTTTAACAAAGGAACCATCATGAGCATTTGAATTATAAATTGATTTGATTATAAGTCAGCAGTTCTAAATCATCCGGCCCAATTTAAGAACTCTCATCACCAATAAGGGCTGTAGAACTAAACAGAATACCAAATATGGGGTATAGTGAAGGGAAGCTTCCTCCTCATTCCCCCAAGAGGATAATACCTGTGATTTCTAGGAGAAATGCAAATGCTTCCCTTTCTTCGCTTGAATGCGCGGAAACATTCTAGCAGTGCCTCTCAAGTGGGCGACAGAACTCCCACCCTGGAATATAGTGAATCTATCTAGGGGGGCAGGAGTAGCCTTGGATGCAAGGGGAGATGCTGCTGAGTAAATGTTTTTCTGTAGGGGGCGCAGTGGCCAAGTAAGTTTGGGAACCTCGTACTAGAGACGCGCGAGGCCACAGATGCTCTTAGTTACTGTACACAACACTATCAGACAACCACTGGAGACAGCGCCCCTGGATTACTGTTTGCTCATATCTGTACTACCCGAAACAGCAGGTGCCAATCAGGAGCACTGATTTAAGTGCAGTCGGTTCTTCAGCTGTGGGGACTTAACCCGTCACGTGAGACTGCTGACTCCGGTACCTTAGTGTTGCTGCTCCTCCCTCACCCCTCCAAACAATCAACACTTCCTCAAACACAGTGGGCAACCCCAATACTGACATGTGCGCGCCACTGGGAATGGCCCATGTCGCAGTTAGGGTTCCCCCCCGCTAAAGAAAGCTTTAGCCAAGTAGTCCTGCAAACAAGCTGACAGTCTGTGACAAGCTGACCAAACTCTGGGCGGGGGGGGAAACTGGGGGACCCTATGTGGGGCTGGGATTTGAACTGGGGCTGGTCATTTGCCAGGCCAGTGCCTGACCTCCCACCTGACCTTTTCCAGCAGAGGGTTCAGCCTCGGAATTAAGTTGAGCCTGATGGTTAGCCCACTTGTAAGTATTTAAAAAGGCAATGAGATAAACAAGCAGAACCTACAGAGGGAGCTAGACCAGGGGCCAGCAAACTGTGGCTCGTTAAGTGCGACACGTGCTCTATCGGTTATTCCGAGATGAGTAACGAAAAACCCAACTCTGGAGAAAACGCGAGAATAAACTGTGAGACACCACTGTGGGGAGCAATGGCAATGAGCCCCAGCCCCGATCCTATGGGTTTAGCATCAAGGACGACTGGGGACTCACCAACCGAGAGGCGACAGATCAGGGGCGCAAACAGGAAGTAGGAAAAACCATAAGGTGGACATGGGAAGGCTCAGTACAAGGGTCACCCTCCTTCCCCTCCCCCCAGCCCCGCAGGCTGGGAAGTGGCGGAAAAGTAGCTTTAGGAATGACTTTCTGCCCTGGCTGGGATGGTAACCAGTGGGCTGAGTGCCATTCTGAGTTCAATCCCAGGTACCACCCAAAGAGCACTGACCCCCCTACTCCCCCCCAAAAAACATGAAAGTATAACAAATGTGGAGATAAGCTTTAGGGGAAAAGGTGGGATATCCTTTCAGTGAGAAGTAAGAACAGAGGAATTGTTTCAGCCTTACCCAGCAAGTAATAAGCACTCAGAAGAGGGCTGAGAAAAAGTGGAGTAGAACGTTTTTTTCAAGGCAAATTTGGGGTGGAGGGGGGTGGGCAGAGCTGGCAGAGAGGTCTTGAGGCAGCAACCCTGGCTCCATCTGCTCACCACACACAGTGCCCTGGGGATCTCCAGGAATAAGCCCCAGCATCGGCAGGTGGGAGCCCTACGCTACCCCCACCCCACAAAAGGCACGATTTCCTGCCCCCGAAGCAAAGCAGACGCTGCCACAGATTCCTTACTGCCCGCTCCCTGTGACCGGGAGACCGTCTTCATGGGGGCTGGGAACAGCCAGCCAGCCAGCAGCCAGGGAGACCTTTCAAGGCACTCCTTGGGAAGCTCACCTGCCTCTAGCTCCCCAAGACATTAGCGCCTCTTGGGAGTCATTTTCCATCTCTCCTGAGATGCTATTTCCCTGTCCTCTGGGCTCTGGAGTGGAACTACCTCATTAGGAGGTGGGGAGTAAGTCCCCTCCTAATGAGCCCAGGAGACCAGGCTGCCAGAACAAAGGAAGGGAACCGGTGAAGGCACACGCACAGCCTTCATTATAGGAGCACCTGTGACAGGCGGATAAGAAATGGGCCCACGTGAATAAAGAAAACCAGCCACAACGCTTTGGACATTAAGGTTTCTTAATATTAGACCTCGAGCAATAGCACAGCGGGTAGGGCACTTGCCTTGCCTGCGGCTGACCCAGGTTCAAGTCCAAGCACCCCGTACGGTGCCTTGAGCACCGCCACGAGTAACTATTGTGTGCAGAACCAGGAGTAAACCCCTGAGCATCACTGAGTGTGATCCCAAAACAAAACCAAAATAGCTTAATGTGGAAAAAATTTCAATTGGAACCAGGGGGCCAAAGTGATAATCTTCATTTGGTCCGACTAAGCAGTGTCAGTTCTTTCCCGAAATGGTAGTTCCTTACTGCCAAGATTGTCGAAGAGAAAAAAGGGGTGCTGGTGGTGTTGCGGTTATCTCAGACACAGTGGGACCAAAAAGCAGAGGCAAAAAAGTCTGGTCCATGCTCCCCATAGTATTGTTTGTGTGACAAGAACAGGCTAGTCTAGCCCAGACGCAATCACCAGCCCCTGAAGAACTCGGACCCACCGAGGAGACCCTGGCGCCAAAGAACCGAACCTAGACCCATAGCTCCGAGCCAGCCCAGCACCGTCACAGACATCACAGTGCAACGTGGCTGCCCCCTCCCGCCACTGCAGAGTCAGAAAGCCTTCCCAAGAGCCTAGCAGATGTTCACTCCGGCCACCCTGTATCGGCCTGGCCTGGCCGGAGGGACACTCACGTAATTGTCGTCCCCCGTCCCAGTGTGTTCCCTCTTGGGTCAGCGATGACGGAGAATTCGTTGGAGTCAGACTCCCAGATGTGCTGGGTATCGTTGTTGTGTTTCGATGTGACAATGACTTTATCGGCCACGAGGAAGGCGGAGTAGAAACCCACGCCGAACTGGCCGATGAGCTCCGAAGTGGACTGGTTATCTTCCTGTGCTTCGGTCATTTTGTTTAGGAACTCGCTCGTCCCAGACTTGGCGATGGTGCCGAGGTTTTTAACCAGCTCTTCCCTGGTCATTCCGACCCCAGTGTCCGTGACATGGAGCAGGTTCTTCTCTTTGTCACACTGAAAGACACACAAGAGAATCCTACTTGCTGAGTCCTTAGGATACAACCAGCGCTAAGCTATGTATACTAAAAATCTACCAGCTCTGGGCCATATTGATCCTTTTTTTGTTTTAATTTTTTTGGCCACACTTTGTGGTGCTTGTGGCTTATTCTTGGCTCTGTGCTCAGACATCAGTGACTCCTAGCTTGGGGACATGAGAGACCAGGGACGAAACCCAGGCTGGCCACATGCAAGGCAGGCACTCTACCTAGTATACTATGCAGCCCCAGGACGACACCAACTCTAAAACAGAAGTAAAACACAGATCTTTCCTCTATATTGTGTTAATGACCCTGTCAGAAAGCCCATTTCTTTTCTCTCCTTTTTGGATTTTGGGTCATACCTGGTAGTGAGGGGACCGTGTAGTGTCAGACATTTTACTTGGGCCCGCTGAACGATCTCTCCAGCCCCTCAAAATACACATCTTTAAGTACTAATATTTTTACAGGGAAGAGTTCAGTGTATCACAGAATATAGCAATCCAAAGAGGGCAGAGATAGGGTCAGTCTAAATATCAAAGGGCAGAGACAGATCAATAGGAAAAAAGTCATTAAAAAAAATTGCAATTGGGCCACGGAGCTAGTACAGGCGGCAAAGTGGTTGCATATGGCCAACTCCAGTTCGATCCCTGGCACAAGTGGTCACCAGAGCACTGCTGGGAGCGAACCCTGAGCCCCACTGGGAATAGCCCAACCCTGCCGCCACCCAAATTAATTAGAGTATGTTTGTGTTTTGCTGATTTCTTAGAAGTCAAAACTTGCATTTGGAACTGTAGTGATCAATGTTCTTTACTAAATATTCCTGGCTCAGCCTCCCAAAACACAGTCAGAAAACCCATCTCTCCATTGATGGTTGGGCAAGGCCACATGACCAGTGGCAGCCAATGAGGGACAGGCATAGCCCGAGCGTGGCTCTTGGACTGGAGCCTTTATCTGAGGGGAGACCCTCCTCCTAGCAATCCCGGCACCATGGCAACCAGCTCTGCTCCAGACGGAGGCTGCTCCATCAGTCTAAGTCCTGAAGTGAGCAGGAAGAAAAGCAAAGGCCCTCCTAGGCAGCTGGAAAGATCTAAGCCAGGGGGGTGGCGAACTTTTCCCAAGAAGGGGCCAGAGATTAAATTCCAGGTTTGTGGTCCATAGGAGGTGTCACTCGATTGCAGCATAAGCTCAGTCATGGGTAACAGACAAACGAGCATTACAGCGTCATAGAGAACAGGCAGCAGGCTGAGTTAGCCCAGCTGCCATGCCCAGCACTGGATAGGGACCCTTGAGTACTGCCAGGGGTCACTCCTGAGCACAGAGCCAGGAATAGCCTCTGAGCAGAGCTGGGTGTGACCCCCCAAGTCTCCCCAATCAAAACCTCCTACCCAGTCTTGACTGCTAGGATTTCCCTCTTTCGCTTTAACTTTAAAAGAAAATTGTTTTACACTCACCTTTATTTTGACTGTGAGTTCCTCATTTCCAGAAAGAGCATTTTCATCAGTCAGTGATATTAGCCTGATTTTATCCAAAGCATCAGAAGCATTGGAAATCAGTTCTCTCAAGAAAATCTAAGTGGAAACCAGATTTAACAAATATTTAGATAAGGCTCAATATACATCACAGCAAAGTTAAAGCCAAGCTCATTTTATTTCTCCACTGTTTTAGAAAAGAATGCATTAAGATGTAGAGGAAGCTTTATTTCATCTTGGAAAAGCAAAAATAGCTCTTCACACAAAGCACTGGCAATTCTTAAGAGCTACCTCAGCTGGTACAAGCAGTCACATTGACAGTCTCCTCAGATTAGTGATCTGGATATACACAATACATGAGGCTTCATTTCTGTAACAGCCTGTGAGACTCACAACCATTCAGACCACAAAGATACTAAAGTCTGGGGGCTAATAGTTATTCCCACTCTCCCCTTCTTATCTTAATCCAGGAGCAGTTTTTGTACATTTGTGGTGCTGGAAACTGCGCCCACATAATGGGTATTTTAAACTTCATTAACTATTTTCTGGTAATTACTATGTAAAGAAACAACTTAGCTACTATAAAGAGACAAAAATCTGAATCATGTTCTGCTTACCTCTTTATTTTTGTACAGAGAATTGATGATAAGTTTCATCATTCTGTTAACCTCAGCCTGGAAGGCAAACTTCTCTGATTTCTCTCTAAGTTCTCTGATTTGGGATGCATTTAGTCCATCCAACTGAATAGCTTCTTCCTCTCTATGGAAATCAGATAAAAAAAAAATGGCATTGCTTAGTTTCCTTAAAAAACAAATTCTATGATCAAAGTGCCGTTCTTCCAAAATTATTCGAAAGGAGGGGTAAATGAAAGCCTTTATAAAATAGCGCTATTTTACAATCTCATTATTACTTTCCCACAGTAGTTGTTTTAATACTGAGTTGGAAATTCTTAAAGAAAAGTCACTTTTCTGTACAAAAATAAATAGAAAGGTCATACTCATTTCTTGCTCTTACACGGGATACTTAAAACTGTCCAAAACAAAAAAATAATCCTAATTCTTTAAAAAAAAAAAAAAAGTCTAAGTGTACCCAAGGAAGAAAATCAACTGAAGTCTCCTCTAAAGTCTTAAAAGGTTAGTATAAGTATTCTGCAACATAATTACCAAAATAGTTTTCAAAAGAAATTCATTCCATTTCAACCAGTCATTCCTAAGGGCAAGTTTAGAGAAACCTTTGCACTCATCCGCTTTCTACCCCTGACAGGACTGAACCACACTTAAATTTCGGGGGTGCTCCCCTTCCAAGACCTCAGAGGAAAAAGATACAAAGGGTCCGCGGGAAAAGATACAAAGATACAAGGGAGTGCTACAGTATTCCCTCCGGGCTTGCCTGGAAGGTGTTTTACAAAAGCACACAAACCTCTGCACGACTTCATCGTCTGTCCGAGAGCCTTCTCTGCTTTTACCCAGGTCCTCTTCCACCGTCCCATCCACATCCAACTCATCGTCAGCTCTGACCGACCCTGAAGGAAATCCAACATCAGGGGGATGAAAAATCTCAAACATCGCCGGTTTTGCTTCCGATCTCCGAAGGAAAAAGACCGCACAGGGCAAGCGCAGGGGGGTGTAAAAACTCCGGTGGTGGGTAATAGTGGAGGGGCTGCCAGAAAAACCTCCCGTGGAAACATCCCCCCACCCCCCCAGTTGAATGTGCTATTGAAGTGCCAACACTGAGGTCCCCAGCAGACCCTTCATGCTTTGTAGAAAGTGGCCCCGTTCAATCGACCCTGGACTCCGGGTAGATTCGCTCCCAGGTCCCTCCTACGTCCACACGTGTTGCGCGCAGGGCGAGGCCAGGCCTCGGAACTGACCCAGCCAAATACTTAGGTCTGCACCATCTCCCCCCACGCCCCGGGGCCGGCCTACAAGTGGGATTTGTGCAAACTCCGGCCAGGGGGCACCCAGAAGGGGGAAGGGAAAGGAGGAATGGGAAGGGACTGGAAACGGCGTTCGCGGCCCGGGCAAATAGTGAATTCAAACGCGCTGACACCGCCTTTCCGTTAAGCTCGGGGCCCCAGGCTCCCAAGCAGCACTGGGGGGAAAGCAAAGGAACCCCGCGTGGGCGAGGCGTCCCAACCCCCGGGACCCCGGCGTCGGACAGGGATCCTCGGGGAGGGGCCTCGGCCGGGAGGCCCCACCCCGGGCACCGTGCGAGGCATTTAAAGGGTTTTTTTTTCTCTGCTCCTCTGCAGAAGAGGAAGAGGGTCAAACGGAACAAAAACCCCAGAGCTTCTTTCGAGGAAAGGCATGGAGCCCTCTCCCCCAGCCCCAGTCCCCCTCCTTGGCCAAAGTGCAGAGCTTCTTATTTACCGCCCCCTCCCCCCCAACCTGGCTCAACGCCCCCCCAGAACCTTCGAGAAGAGGCCGGGCTCCAGGAGGAGGAGGAGGGGGGACTGTCCGCTCCTCCAGGATCACTCACCGAAGGTCAGCAGGACGCAGCAGAGGCCCAGCACCCAGAGGGCCCTCATGGCGCGCGGCCGGAGAGTCGCAGGTCCCGTTTGGACGTAGGAGCCTCCTCCGCCCCCCCCACTCCCGGGCTCGGATCCTTACACCTCAAGCCGCGCGGTCCGCCCACTACCCCCCAAGCGGGTCCGGTCGCTTTTCACCCCCACTTCTCGCGGGCGGGGGACGGGAAACACGAACCCACCAATCGGGCCGCACCACGCACACTCTGCACCCAATGAGAACGCGTGGGGGGGACCGCCGCTCGCCAATCAGAGCAGTCCATGTGCGGTGTCCGATGCCCGAAGCGTGGCTCCTCCGGATTGGCCAGTCGTTCTCCCCTCTCCTCCAATCACACGGCTCCGCGGGCCCCTCTTCGGAGGAACCGCCTCTCGGCCCGGGAGGCTTTGGCTGCCAGGCGAAACTGTCCAATGAACGGCAACACAGAGCACGCCCCTCCCACGGAAGAGGTCATGACGCCAGAACCACTTCCGGATCCTAGAGCGCGTTTATTCCGTGACCAGGGGAAACGGTAGCCATAGCAACGCGGTTTTTTTTTTAATTACTATTTTTTTAGTGCTTGGACTCATCTGGGGGAATAATGATCTTGTCGTGACTTTTAGGAAACATCTCGCCTGGCCCTGCTATTCGGAAATGAGAAACACGTGAGGCTGGAGAGTCCCCCCTGAGCGCGTGGAAGAAAGGGTCTGGTGCGGAACTACAATTCCCGTCATGCAACGTGCTAGAGTCTGCAGTGTATTGGATGCTGGGAAACGTAGTCTTTCGCCTCTGGACCAGTTGCGTAGTATTGGCCGGTGATTCCGCGCGGCCTCTGCGCGTGGTACAAGGGCTTGCATCTCTACCGATTGCGATAGAGCTTGCTGCGGGCCCCCGGGCTCGCCAGTGTACACCGCCGCCCACAGCTGGCTTAGGATGCCGCCAGGCCTTGGCCAACAACCGCCCTGGTTTCTGGGGTTCGACCTCTCGGACCAGAACTATTACCCCCCCTCCCCGCACCTCCTCTTTTCCGAATTCCGATCTCAGCCCCAACCCTCCCTCTCCATACGTTACCTGGCTGGAATCTCTAAGCCCCCGGCATTCGTTTCACCCAGGGCAGTGGGGCCTTTCCCTTCCTCGGGGGCTTTGTGAGCTATTTAGATGCCCTCGACTTAGGAAGTTCAAAGGCGGTGTCCAGTGGGCCCAGAGCCTCGGCTGTAAGTCTGGTGGAGCGTCGAAAAGGAAAGCCCCAAGTCAGTCCAACCATTTTGTTTAAGGGGTGTAAGAAAATATATCTGCAGATACTTCAAAGCAAACCTCCCCCCATCTCACCCCCACTCTGGGTTGCAACCTAGAGAGGGGCTTTGTAGCTTCTTAGAAAGATCAGGCCAGATTCAGAAAGACCCACACCTGGTGTCTTCCCTGGGCCCACGCTTCCTTTCTCTAACTAGAGCCTTTGGACACTGTTTTGTGAGTCCTTGGTGTTTATATATTCCCTCGACCTGGGACCACAACCCATTTCCAGCAAAACAACACCCTTATTTCTTCGTCCAGGAAAATTGAACTTAGCATTTGTTTTCAGATCATCCTACGAATTCCTGAAGACAAGCTTTTCAGTATCGGAACTTTTTTTTTTTATAACTTCCCCTGTTCGGTCAACTGATCTCAGTTCTGTGGTTGTGTTTTATTTACATGTACCCAAATTACCTACTTTTGTTAGTAAGCGAAGACTAGCCTTACAAAGCCTTCTTTTTTTTTCTGTTTGATGCTCTGTGCTTGTAAGTGTGTGTGTGTGTGTGTTGAGGATGTGCTTTGCTTACCTGGGGATTTGCTTTTAGAAAAAAAAATGAGTTCTTTCTCTTTGGTGGCAGTTCACATTTCAATTTTTTGTTACCTTTCTAGGTCGGAACCAGCAAAAGCAACCGGTGCTGAAACTACAGTGTCCATCATAACTGGTCAGTGGTAGGTAGTCAGCTGCACCTGGAGGGAACTGAAAATAAGCCAGGCCTTCCAAAATAGACCATTGCCTGTAGGTGGGTGAATGTTTCTGCAGCTGATGGCGGTGACTTATGAAGTAGGCTGCACCAGAATCCCCAGTACTCTGGCAGAAGATGGCTGATCTCCATCTGGGTTAGTCTAGGCCCCTGTTTTGGTTTTTTTTTTTTTTAAATATTAGTGAAAGACCATGAGGTACAGTTGTAGACTTACAAATTTTTGCGCTTGGGTTTCAGTTATACAATGATTGAACACCTATCCCTCCACCAGTGCTCATTCTCCACCACCACTGATCCCAGTATCCCTCCCACTCCCTCATCCCCCCCATCCTCCCTGTCTTTGTGGCAGGGCATTCCCTTTTGTTCTCTCTCTCCTTTGGGGTGCTGTGGTTTGCAAAAGAGGCATTGAGTGGCAATCATGTTCAGTCTATAGTCTTATTTTCAGCATGCATCTCTCATCCTGGAAGGATCCTCCCAACACCCCTTATTTGGTGCTCCCTTCTCTATCTGAGCTGCCTTTTCACCTAGCATGTGCAGCTGGCCTCCAAGCCATGGAGTGAACCTCCTGGTACTTATCTCGGCTGTTCTTGGGTGTTAGTCTCCTATTTTGTTGCTTTATGTTCCCCAGATGAATGCAATCTTTCTATGTCTGTCCCTCTCTTTCTGACTCATTTCGCTTAGCATGATACTTTCCATGTAGTACCACTTGTGTGTAAATTTCATGACTTCATCTTTTCTAACAGCTACATAGTACTCCATTGTGTAGATGTACCAAAGTTTCTTTAACCAGTCATCTGTTCTCGGGCACTCAGGTTTTTTCCAGATTCTGGCTATTGTAAATGGTGCCGTAATGAACAAACAAGTGCAGATGTCACTTCGACTATACTTTTTTGACTAGGCCACTGGTTTAACAATAGTATTATTCCTGGGTTTTGTTGTTGTTTAGGGGGCCACACCTGGCAGTGTTCAGGGCATACTTCTGGCTCTGTGCTCAGGGATCATTCTTGATGGGCTCTGGGGACTATATGGAGTGCCAGGGATTGAACCCGGTCAGTGTGTGCAAAGCAAGCCCCCACCTACTGTACTAGCTCTCCCAGTGGCCCCTGCCTTGTTTTGTTTCTCCATATATTATAAGAGTGAAAACATTTGATTTTTGTCCTTCTCCCGCTTTCTTAGTATGGTTCCCTCCAGTTCAGTCCAGTTTAGAGTGGTTTCATCTTTTCTTATGGTTGAATACTGTTCCCTGGTGTATATGCACCACAGCTCATTTTCCATTTGTCTGTTGTTGTACATTTGTGTTGTTTCCATAGTCTGGCCACTGCCCCAAGCCCTGCAGTGAGCATGGGTGCGGACTGCACATAGACTGTGAGCATTGATCTTTCCAGATAATGTTTTGTATTTGGGGGATCGATGTAAGAAGTGGAATCATGGGACGTGTGGAAGCTCTATTCTTTTTTTGGGGGGGGGAGGGTCACACCTGGCAATGCACAGGGGTTACTCCTGGCTCATGCACTCAGGAATTACTCCTGGCAGTGCTCAGGGGACCATATGGGATGCTGGGAATCGAACCCAGGTCGGCCACATGCAAGGCAAATGCCCTACCCACTATGCTATCTCTCCAGCCCCTGGAAGCTCTATTCTTCTGTGAGAAATTGCCGCACTTTTTCCCATAAAAATGAAACCAAACGACATTCCTACCAGGGCTTCCTTTCCACCACATCCCTGTCAGTACTGGCTGTTTCAAGTCTTTTTGATGTAAGCTAGGATGTGAAAGATGATGTCTTGTTTTGACTTGCATTTTCCTGATAAGTGCTGACGAGAGCTCTTTATCATATGCCTACTGTAGGCTGTCTGATGTCTACACTCTGAAAGTGTCTCCCCATTTTTAGATAGGGTTATCCAGGGTTTTTTTTTTTAATTTTCTTTAACTCTCGCCTTTAAGACAGGATTTGTGGCCAAGCACCCTATCAGAAGAATGGGTAGATTCAGCCTTGCAGTTTCTCTGCTGTGGTCTCTGACTTTTGTGGGGTGTTTTGTTTTCTTTTGGCCTCTCCCAGTGGTTTTCAGAGCTTAATCTTGGCTCTCCTCTTCGGAATCACTCCTTGGTACTGCTAGAGGGCTGGGGATCCAGCCTGGCTCAGACCTCCTCACTCTCCTATTGTTCTGGCTCCCACTTCCAAATTCTGACCCATGATTGATTCTCCAACCCCTCTGGATCTAGAGAATCGGAATTTGCATTCAGGTTTATAAGCTCTCTGCCTTTGAATCTAATTTCATAGCTTTCTTATTTTAACGTCTCTCTTTTTAAAATTTGTGTTAAAAAATAAAATGAAATTTGCGCTGTGCTCAGTGGGCATTTCCTGCACTACTGAGCTGACCAGGCCAGCTGCTTCAGTTCTTGGGCCTGAGAATATGGTGCAGCTTGGGCCCTGCAGTACTGAGCACTCCAGAACTGCACCTATCTGTGCTCAGGGGACCACGCAGTGCTAGGGATCTACCTGTCCGGGGTTTACGCAAGAGAGCATAGCCCCTAATACTGCTGAAGTGTCACCCAGTCCCTAAATTCCCGCTTGGATGCTCTGTGCCTGCTAACACTACTGGAGACTGCTGACTTTGTTGTTATTTTTTCTTTCTTTTTTGAGTTAGAGCTTTTCTTGAGCACAGCTAACCCCACCAGATAGCACCTATCTTTGAGTTGGACTTGGAAGAAAAAACAAATGGGAAAAGGAGCTGGTATTATGGCAGCGGGTAGGGTGTGTGGTAGCCAGGTGTAGTCCCTCAGTGGGGTTTCAGAAGGAGTGCAGTGAGGGACATGGAGGCAGGAAGACATTCAGCAGGGGGGCCTGGTTCCATAGTGATGCCCTGGAAGTTAATTGTTGTGATCCCTTTTTTATTCAGCAAGTAGCAAGGACTTGGTGTGTGCCAGGTGAAGGGAAGAGACCTCGAACCAGAATCTTAGAGGGCATTTGGAGATATAGGTCTTGCCTTGCCTGTGGATGACCTGGTTTGATCCCCAGCACCCCAGATGGTCCCCTGAGCACTGTCAGGAGTGACCTCTGAGCACAGCTGAGTGTGACCCCCTCCAACAGAAAACAAAAAGAGCAAGAAGATTTGGGGCCAGAAAAACTTATTAGAGAATGCGTTGTTCAGATTGCC